TGGAAAGATTCGGTGGGATGCGATGAATTACTTTGAAAGCTCTCTTTTTCTCCACTACATGACCACTATCAATTAAATGTGACAAAATTAAGCTACGGATTGTTTTTGTTTGTTCTTTGCCAAACCACGATGGGAGATGTTCACTAACACGTTGGCTAAGCTGTCCCTGTCTACCGTCTCTATTATGCATTTCTTCTACTTTCTTCTCTTGCTTTGTGTGCTCCATGGAGTGTGACGACTGAAACTGTTACACGTTGGTGCAAAGTTCTGTGTTGAAAACAGACAGACAGATCATTTAGAGGATCAGTGAAATCGTCAACATATTCGGATCATCGATTTAATATCCGCAGTCTTGATACGGATGGGGTTGATGAATTTGCACACTGCTGATAAGTCGTGAAGTAGAACGAAATTGCTATCCAGTATGATCTTCGTTTTCAATATTTCTCTAACTGAAACCTTCTCTTCAGGAATTATACATTGAAATATCTACTCTGTTGTTATCGTAATTAACCGTGTTGATACGAAATATTTGATAAGGTTAAGTCTTCGAAATCGTCTTTTATAGCCTCTTCAGGAAATCAATACTTCATGATTAAGTGAAATAAGATGAATTACTTTGATGAAGTAATCAGTTAATAGGACAGGGGTGTGTTTAAAATTATTTGATAGTTTGACTTCCTCTGGATGGGAGCGGAGTGACTGAGTTGGCATTTCACGGAGGACTGACGAAGTTTGACTATTAATTACAAGGCAAGCTAGTTCTTTGATTGAATTCAATGTACATCTTCCCATCTATTCCTTACTAACATACAGCAAAACTTTAGAGTCATCTATCTGAATAACTGAAATGCAAGTGATTAAATGCATTTCTCAAATTAATTGAACAGTAATATGAGTGAGTAATAATATGCACACTTTTCAATGAAAACTTTAAAGGTAATATTAATGGAAATTATATAATTATACTTTTTAGTCCCTGTTGGTGTATATAGACCCAAATGGTCCGCCTCATTTTCTCATATGGGTTCCTTGAACAGATGACTAGATATGATCGTGATTAATAGCTCAGTATTAATTGTTTGGCGGTAGTTATCGTCGGTGGCACAGCGATTAGGACTCTCGCCAACCATGTATATGGTCAGGCGTTCGATCCCCTGCCGACGCACACCTGATATCAATGGTCGGCCAGCAAAATGTAGGCTACCGATATCATATGCTGAAGATTCCATACTTGTACCGAAAATACTGTGCGGTTTCAAGCAATAATCAAAAATATTTAAAAAATACGTTTCATCCCATTTGGGATTCGTCAGTTGGATCAACCTATTCCTCAGAGAGTGATGATGTTCCGACTGAGAAACCCATGGTTTCAAACACTAATACGTTATCCACTGGGCCAGTGAACTAACAGCACATTTACTTCTGCAACGGATAGGAATTGATATGTTATATAGTTTTATTATGTCTATTATTAAGAACTATCCAGTCAGCTGCTAAAATCAAAACACTCAGATGTAGGGTATTGCCTAGTGAAAAATAAGATTTAAGGAGTGCAGGTGTCACTGGGAATATCATCAGTCACTGAGAATACAGGAACACTCAGTTGACGAGTTCCAAGTTGGATGAAGTGCTTATTTTGGACTTCATTGTCAGCTGTTATCAAATAAATAAAATCGAGTAAATACTATTACTGCAGACTTGCTTAATAGTCCATGAGCTTCCCCTGTAATCTGAAAGTCCTAGGTTCGACCTCTTTCGGTACTATTATCAGTGCGTACTGATGAAGAATCCAAAGGTAGGACGAAACACTGGTGTCCAGTAATTCCTATAGCTGATTTTCAATGCCTCTCATATCAATCCATGGGCAAACTTGGAAAGTATTTTGAGCCCTTTTCAGCCTGTGGTAAGTAATTCTCTTACTTCTCTAGCCGTAGAACACAAGAGTATTTGGCAACAGAAGTATTTATTGGTGACTCGTTGTACATATCATACAATATTGAAATCACAATTTGCTCGTGTCTTCCGTACTGTTCTTATTTCTCTTCCTTTCATCTTTTCTGTATTATAATTTAATAATACCCACGGCAGCATTAAGAACACAATATTCAGCGAAGCGACTCTTTTCAACAACGAATTTATTTGATTGCACGGAGCATTCCATCATGAACTGACATCAGTTAGAGAACCACTAGAAAACTTGGGAGTACTGGACAGCTGTTTCGTCCTAGTATGGGACTCTTCAACAGTAGGCACCCACCACTGGGATTTCGAACCCAGTACCTTCTGGTTACAGGGCGAGCTCGTAGACCATTGAGCCACTGGGAACCGATCCAATGGTCTTTGAATTCTAACTTCTACCAATTCACTCCCAGGTTTTCCAGTGGTTCTCTAACTGATGTCAGCTCATGATGAAATCCCCCATCCAATCAAACAAAAATCCCTACAAAACCAATACTTGAAAACGAATTTATTATCAAGCTGTGCAATAGTATATATGTACGGTTTTTAAGAAATTATATCCAGTGGGGGTATTAGATCAAAGGTGTGAATACATCAAATCTTTATAATAGTAGTATGAAATGCAATTAAAATATTTGTGATTATAATCATAGTTTAATGTCAAGTAGCAAAGCAATCAATGTCATATATAGAATAATACATAAGATGGATGCATAGATGTTGGAAAGGGGTGCATAATTATAGGATTAGTAGTCGAATATAAAATGTTACGTAACACTGTGTGAAATTTGATAAGATAGAATTTAATATTGTTAAAATAAAAAATAATAATTTTGGGTAGAAACAATTCAGAGTGAGAATAGTAATATTAATCATGACAATAATAATAATATTAATTGTAGTAATAGGGAGAAGGTACATAGAATAACTAAAAAAACAAAATAAATAAGTGTCTATCCATCTGCGGCCAAGGCAGAAGTAGGCGTTGTATATACTTCTTTCGTACACAAAGTTCTAGCTTAAATTCATGAACTGCGAAGACCTCCGCTTTCCTTAGAAGTCTATAACGAATAAAACGCCGACTCTAAGCTAGCATGGATTCGATAGATGATCTTAAAATCACGGTCAGAGTTGACGGAGTGACAGGAGTCAATCAGGTGTTCTAGAATAGAGCTACGCACACACTTCCTTTCTCCCTTGTGAAACCATGCAGGTGGAATATGTTCTCGTATCCATGTGGAAATCGTCCTCTGGCTACGGTCAATGTGACTTACAGCACGAGAGCAGGTGAACTGATAGATGCACATAGAGGCGGTCAGACGGGGTGGAGCTTATGTTTTACGGAGAACAACTTGTGGCAGGTGAAAATTATTTGTAATTTTGCTACAAGGCATATCTCACTGACTGATTTAGAGAGATAGTTTTTGAGCATGTCTGATGCGAATCGGTGACCAGTTTAGACTGCTCATCTTTTGTGTTTCTGTCAATAAATCAGTTCGGATAACCATTTTCTGCTAGCGTGGCTTTTAGGAAGTCAAGTAGTGAGTCAACGCAATCAGAACTATAAATGTTTGTCATTCTAACGCAGAGCGAATGAATTAGGTTCCTTTTCCTGGAGATAGGCCTCCAACTATAAAAATTAGTTAGTTGTTCTTTCGATGTACGTTTCCAGTGTATGGGTCTTTTGAGAGATCCGTCATTACGTCTACTGTGGCACACATCAATAAAGGGAATACTTAGTTCAGATTCTTTTTTTATGGTGAAGTGTAAAGAAGGATGTCAGTTGTTGAAAGCAGACATTACATCATCGAGAATTACGTTTTTATGGCAGATAACGGAAGTGTCGTCTACGAAGGTTTGACTAAATTGAGAATTTCCAAGCTTTGGCATAAAACAATAAGCCAGTAAAGGAGCCATTTGTAATCCCATCGCAATGCCCATCTCTATGTCTAAAAATCTCATTATTGCAGATGAACTGAACATTCAACGTGCGTCTCAATAAAAGTTCTTTGAGGTGGATTGTCGCTATGTTTCACAACCATCCATCGTTTTTTATCTTCAGTTCTTCCCTCGGCTCCTCGATATTTTCGCAGATGATAGGCATATTTATGCCTGTATCTGCATACCATTCCGAAATTTCGTCAGTAGCACATATCACAGTTCTATTTGTAAATAGTAACTCGGATGGTACTTACACTTTTAATAAACTTTCGTGTTTTATTTATTTGGTTGGAGGACTTCATCATGAGCTGACATCAGTAAGAAAACCATTGGAAAACCTAGGAGTACTTGACAGCTGTTTCGTCCTAGTTTAGGACTTTTAAGTCATACGCACCCACCGGGGTTTGAACCCGCCTTCATTACTGCATTGAATGCCTCTTCTTGATCAACCATATATATGTATGCATACATAACCGTCAATGCAACCTGGTCATTTACGTGTCCTTTTTTGAACTAATAGACTTCCCACGTATTAGATTTACGAGCCCCCTGTTCTAATCACTACTCTCATCGACAACTACCAGGACACGCGAAGCAAGAAAGAAAAGAAGAAAGAAGACAGCGCGTTGACGTAGACAGCTTCTACTATCTCAAATCCACAATGAAAAGGCTTGAGAGCAATTCCGTATAAATTAACATTGTTTTTAAATGACCTTGAAGGGCACAAATTTCATTGGTAAGTTGAAACATTTAACAACCAATAAGGTTCAGAGTTCATAAATAGGAGGGAAATTCAAACGTCACTCTACCGTAAATAGAGTCTTAGGAAAAATTAACTGTATATACATACATATTGGCATCCAAAGTTGCAGACTTTCGTTACTGGTAGTGAATAAACGGTTATAATGTTAATCTTCATATGTGCCTATATTCTTTATTTAGTTATCTGATATAACTTTTAATTTATTCACAAATGAACCATTTTAAATAAAATAAATTTCTGTTGACTCATACTTCCTGTTTTCTTTCTTTCCTCCATCTCACACACACACACGTACACATTGTGGTGCATACAACACTGGATTACACTGACACAGGAATGACTCAGCTAGGTGAGTAGTTGAATTATTTTCTCTTTTTCAAAGTTGTCATGCGTATTTTTTAAACTTATTTAAATTAGGCATTTATCATGCAAGTATTTCTTTGCATTTTTTTGTTTGTTTGTTCGTTATCTCCTTGTGTTTTTTTTTGTGATTTTTATTTCCATTATTTATTCTGTCTGTTTTTATTTCAAAAAAAGCGGTTCATTTTTGTTTGACTGTACAATTTAGTGTTTTGATCAATGGTATTGAACAGATATATTGGTTTCTTGTTTTAATGTACTAGTATTTTTGTTGTCATTTTCAAATGTTAGCCAATCAATCATTTGTTAGCGCCATTCGTCTCCCTTCGTAGATCTTGTCAGGAACCAACATCAGTCTTAGAGATCATTGAAAACGCAGTGAACACTGAATATATGTTTTATCCAATTTTATAAGAGTCTTCAGGAGTGCGGCACACACTCAACCCCACTAGGGGTCGAATTCTGGATCTTGTTGACCATTCAACCACATGAAATGGAATTTATTGACCTGTGAATGCTTATTTCAACTTTCACGAACATGTTGAAAACATTGAATAACTGATATCTGATTGATTGGTCAACAAAATCTCTTGCTTTCAATTTTGTTTTATTCTGATTGACTAATTTCTGTCCATTGAGAAAGTTGAAATTAGTCTAGCTGATGTAAAATTGAAAATAAGAACAAACAGTTCAACAAAGAGGGCAAAGTTAAACTTCAAACACCAATAACTGCCAGTCAGCAAATGACCTCGAGTGCATAAAAACTGTATAAAAGTGTTAAAGAGGATACCTTTCCCTCACATGTGATAAAAATAGCTCTCAGTTTTAGGTTGGAGTATCAACAGAGTATAATTCCATTGTGGATAAAGATTATTTTGATGAAGTCTCATAGTGTCATACAGTAATATTTACTAAGTAATAAATTGTGCTCAAAACGACATTAGTAAATGTTACTGTATAACACTGAGAGACTTTGTCAAAATAAATTTGATCCACAATGGAATTATACTCTGCAACAGTGTACAAGTTCTATCCTTATTTCAACAGAGTAATTTGACTACATTCTTCTATGCACGTAATTATTTAGGTCTTCTAACCCTAACAATAACCCTAATCTTTCCTGAACCTAACCCTAACGTGGAAATATCCCTAAACTAACTGTAATCTAAATCGAATCAAACCTACTGTCGCCTTTATTAGGTTAACCTAACCTTAATTTGTTCTTGGCTTAAAGGGTAACTTAATCTTTCCCAAAGCTAAGTTGAAACTTGCCAGATATCCCGTTTAATAGCATAACACTTCGATGAGCATATTTTAATGTTGATGACAACATTATTTACTGGATTTCACTAACTTGCTCAGTGAGCGTTTCAAGTTCATTGGTCAGTTCGTACTCTATTGGTAGTGAGTGGTGCTTAAAGTTTAACTTGGCCGTTAGAATAACATTCAAGTGATTATTAGTAGTATATCGTTTGATATTAGATAGTTAAAAGTCATCAGCAGGAATCCCTTGACGTAGGCTTCGTGCTTATTAGCACTTGTCAGTCGTCAGGGTGTACCACTGAACTGTTCAGGCTCATGACTAACCTCCTGAGGAAGTGTAATGGGTACTTGGTTTTTGAAGAAAACGGAATCCTATCACTACCTTCAAGATTTCAGGTTTTTCTTGTTAACGAGTGCCAAAAAGTATGAAACCTAGATTAAGCAGACCTTCCTGCCGATTTCCTCCAAACACCTGATGACAACACTTCAGAGTACAATGTGATGGCGAGTCATCTAGCTAGTTTGTCGACCATATTGCATACTTGACTGGGATAGAAATCAGTTATACACCAACACCAAGAACTAGACGGGGGTGACTAATCGAAAGTATGTCGTTTTCGTACTGGAGTAACAGTGTGGTGAGAGCTAGTTGCAAGCCGAATATGGGCTATGAGAATAAAAACAATAGCAAAGCTTAACCTTGGCGAACTCACCAACCAATCACAGCAGACTTAACGTGTGCAAATACGATTCGCAGATATGTGGCTTAACTTTCTAAGAAACGGTCACATGCAGTACAGAATAACCTTTAGTAAGAAAACAACCAGTGAGAAGACGTTGCTTCCCCGCTGTAAATAATGTACATAAAAATCTATAAATACCTCTTGATTTTCTTAGTAAACGATCTGTTGCCTGGCGCTTGTCTTCTGTCGTTACAACAGTAATCATGCTGTGGTCGGTATATGACAGTTTTATAAATCATCAAATTTTGAGGGGGAATATTACTTCCTCTGTCCTCCCCTGTTAACAATTTCATCTTTGTTATTTGTGATTTGGTTGTATCGAATCAACTAACTAACTGACTATCAAACTATAAACAATTTGAATAGATATATCGTCATTGTTCAACTTTTTTACTCTAATCCCTATAAACACCACCCATATCTCTATGACATTTTTTATTCATAAATACGTAAACAATTGTTGTTATTTCCTCTAGACTCCCGCAAAATTCTGTTTTCATTTGATGTTTGATTTCTTTTGATGGAGAAGTGAATGGGTATCATAGTTTCTCTTATTCACTTACGCACTCACTCACTCACTCACTTAGTTTCTCTCTTGTTTGTCGTTGTGTGCTTCGTTCTTTTCTGACATTGTCAATGTTCAATTGAAATATTGAAAATGAAATAGATTTGGTTATAGTTTTGTGAACTGAATTCATCTTGAAGTGATGAAGTTATTCAGTCATCAAATAATTGACTTTTGACATTATTATTAATAATAATTTTGCTTTATTCCAAAACAGTACTGCTTATGATACAATATGTGGGACTCTCAGCATTTCGTACAGTTTTTTCTTCTATCTAATTTACTGGACAATAGAAAAAAGAAAACAAAAAATAATACTACAAATTTGATAATACCAGCTGTTTTTGGTATTAGCAGTGACATTGAACTCAAAAATGTACAGAAAGTGTAAAATAATGATGATGATAATATTAGGAGAGGGGGATTATTATTATTTTTATAATTGTTCCCTTGGGTTCCTAGTGGAACATGGGGCTTCAGCTGCACGACTCAACTTGCTTCTGTCTTTTGCTGTACTTTTCACTTGCATCCATGTTAGTCCATACTGTTTCAACTCCTCTTCACACGATCTCCTCCATGTCACTCTTTAACGTCCCACTCGCCGCTTCCCTTTTCGGGTTCCACTCGAGCACTGGCCTGACGCGCGATGTCACTCAACGGCCTCCTCAGCTCAGCGAGTGTCCAATCCATCTCCACTTTCTCCTGCATATTTGTTGGGCGATTGGTTCTTGTTTTGTTTGTTCCCATAGTTTCTTGTTGGTGATTCTTTCCGGCCATCTGATCTTCAGTATAGAGCGAAGACAGTTAGTTGTTGATAAAGGTCTGCAACCTGTTGGAAATATTCTTTGTGACCCGCCAAGTTTCTGATCCGTATAGAAGAAGAACTGACTTGACGTTTGTATTGAAAATCCGAATTTTGTTGTTGATGCTGAGTTGAGTGATGAAGATTTCCAGATTGGTTTCAGGTTGATGAATGTGTTTCTCGCCTTCCCGATTCTCGATTTGACATCCTCGTCCGTTCCTCCTGTAGTTGAGACAATGCTCCCTAGATAAGTGAATGAAGTAACCTCTTTCAAATCCCTCCTGTTGATGGTGATTGGTGCTGGATGTTGCTGCTGCTGTTGTTGTTGGTTGGTTATTTTCATAAGCTCCGTCTTGTCTATGTTCACCTGGAGTCCTGTCTTTGCTGCTTCTTCGACCAGTTTGTCGGTTTTCGCTTGTAAGTCTTCAAAGAGTCAATTATTTTGCTAATATCATAGTTGATCGTAGATTTCACACAGAACGCAGGCGGGCAAAATGTGGTATCTTTGAGTTTCTGTACTTGGTTGTACGTGCAAGCATACAATATTTTAGAATGATTTCCAGTCCTACCTGATAAGATGCAAAGCAGGGAGAGTTGCGAATAGAGGGGAAGAATGTTAAGAGTTAGACTATATAGATTTATTTTTCAATTAGATCCTCATCTCTGGCTCTACTCTAATATCATTATTATATTATTGTTTCCTTTAGTTCATAGAGGAACATAGGGCTTCGGACGCACGTCTCCATTGTGTTAAGTTCTCTGTCGATGTTTTCACCTCGGTCCACGTCTGCCCACATGCTTTCATCTCCTCTTTACACGACCTCCTCCATATCACCCCACCCTCGCATTGACGACCAACTCGCTGCTTCCTATTCAGGTTCCACTCCAGAGACAGCCTAGCGTGTGATGTCACTTGATGGTTTGTTTTCTCAGAGTATGGCCAATCCACCTCCATTTCTTCCTGCATATATCTTGCACAATCGGTTCCTGGTTGGTTCGCTCAATGCCAGAGATCCTTGTTGCTGATCTTTTCTGGCCGGCCATCTGATCTTGAGTAGTATTAAGCGAAGACAGCTGTTGATGAAGGTCTGTAGTTTCTTTGAGGTGCTCTTCACGACGCGCCAAGTCGCTGATCCATAAAGTAGCACTAACTCTAATATATTTAGCATTTTTATTACAATACACAACATTTTACCAATCAAGTAGCACTGATATATTCGTTAACAATAATTAGTCAGTATCCACATGTCAGTGGGGTGATAATTAACGAAGAAAATTGATACACACAGTTATAAAGTTAGAAATGGTTACAACACGTGGATTGCATAATGCATAATTTTGGAATAATGAAGAGTAATTAAGGAATAAGCGTGTGCACAGGTTGATTACGTAACAGATTGATAGAGAAGAACAAAAACGATTTGAACAATGATAATTTGTAACTAAGGCTGAAGTGATCATAAGAATAAAATAATTTTACAAGGATAACATGTAATTAAAGATGAAGTAGTCAGAAAAAAAATAATAAAATAATTTGGACAATTATAATTTTTAAAAGTTTTGGGGGAAGGGGGGCAAAGTAGTCCGGTTTGCATATTCATGCAACGATGGCCAAG